AATCGTAACCCTAGTTTTTACATTAGCCGTAGCCCTAATGCTAGACCTATGGTAATCTAAAACTTAACCCTAATCCGTGCCCTAATCCTAGCTTTAAGCCTAACCCTAGCCTTAATCCTAACCATAACCCAAGCCCTAACTCTAGCTCTAATCCTATCAATTAGCTTACCCTAACTCTATCCCTAATGCTAACCCTAGAATAACTTGAAACGTATCCATAACCCTAACCCTATCCATTTCCTTAAACCTAATCTGAAACCTATACCTAACCATATCCATTTCCCTAACCCTAAAGCTGATTTGAGCCCTAACCCTATACCTCAACCTAAACAAACCCTGACTCTGACCCTGACTCTAATGATACCCCTAGCTCTAAAGCTGACCCAAACCCTCAACTTAAACCTTTCACTATACCTAGCCATAAACCTAACCCTAAAACTATCCCTAACCATAACCCTAGACCTGACATTAGCCCTAGTCCTAATGCTAGCTCTATCCCTAACAAAAACCATAGCCCTAATCCTTGCCCTAAACAAAGCTTTAACCTAAATCTAGTTCTATAACTAGCCCTAATCCTAAATTTATCCCTTGCCCTAGGCCAAAACCTCATTATAACATCATACTATACCCTAACCCTAATCCTAACTCTAGCCCTAAACCAAGGGCTAACCCTAATACTAACCCTAACTCTAACCCTAGCCCTAATTTAGCATTAACCCTAAACTTAATCATATCCCTAGCCCTAAGACTAACTCTAAATCTCACCCTAGCCCTAGTTCTAACCTTATCCCTTAACATAACCCAAAGCCTAGCCCTAACCACAGCCCAAACCTAGTCTAAAACTTAGCCCTAGCCCTACATCTAAATCTAACACTAAATCTAAGTTATTTAGAAGTATGTTGTTTGAGGTCTAAATATTTGGGGACTTTACATTGATTTTTAATCCTGATATCTTGTCTCTTCAGTAGAGCTGAATTTTCCCTTAGGTCTTATTTCTAAAGAAGACAGGTGAGACTTTGCAATTTATTATCAAAAAATGTTGTTAAAGCTTTACAATAAGAACTGGTATGCATTTACAGAGTGACCTTCAGTGAGTGATCAAATATCTGTGAGTCTAAGGCCTCTTACTATGAGAGTGAGTAGAACATCTAAGATTACATTTTAAAAGTTCTAGTATAGTTTAGATGGTAATGACTTAGCATTTCTGATTCTTATTTCAAAGGTGATATCTAGTATTTCTTATATTCCTCATGTTGCTTAGGTTAGTGTATTGCCATTTACTTTGGGACTCAAATATGTGGAATTTATTTTATTTAGTAAAGCAAAAGCAAGACTGGTTTTGTAGAATATAGCAAAGCCTCTATGAGAATGTTTTTATTTTTAATGGGAAGAATTGTCTCATTGCTACTGAGGGAATTTACATCTTGATGACACCCATTAATCAGAAATGGTCTGAACTGAATAGTTCAAAACCATTAGAAAACCATGAATAAAGAGGCAGATTTAAAAAAATAAGTTTGTCTAGCACCATTTTGAATCTCCTTTTAGAGAACAAATTACAGTAATTTTTACCAGTGAAAGGACTCAAAGACATATAGCTGCATTTTAAGCCTTCTGTAATCACACAAGTCACCATCGACCATAATACAATTGTAGGAAGAGAAATGTAGATCTTCGCAGTCAGAAAAATCAAATACAAAAAGTGCAATTTGCCTCATGAAAAAAAAAGACCTCGTTATGTATGACATACTTCTTTTAGCTCCCAGATTCCATATCTTTGGGCTCAAGATATTCAACCAAAAGAAAGTGGATTTGTTGTATGCCAGATGAGTTAAGAACTGATATAATTAGAGTGTAGAGAAAACATATTTTGATTTGGGGTTCAGTTGTTTCAAGTATGATGGCTTGCTCAGGAAAACAATGCAAGAGATTTTGTCCTCCACTTCACCCAAATTGTATGGAAAAATTATTATTTTTTAAAATTAAAAGTGGAAGCCACAGGCAATTTACAGCAGGTATTGAAATGTCATGATGAGACACCAAACTGCAGTTGTTTTTCTCATGTTTTTTTGTATCATTGATTGCTGTGGAATATGATTTGAATGTTTGAAATATAAAAACTATATTTAAAAATAAACATTAAATATTCTTTTGTATTTTAAGTTAATTTTAAGGCTCATAGCCTAAGATCAAAGTACAGAGTATAATTACCTCATATTTTTCTAATGTAATCCCAAGACAAAGGAGTTGGGATATATTTTCATGAAAAAAAAATTTACTATGTAAACATATGTTGTTCCTTGTAAAATTATGTTGTTCCATGTATCATACTTTTCTAGGCAGAATATATTTGGCCTAAAAATTTAAAGAAGTGATTGCCTTGATGGGGCTGCCAAAAGGTTTATATTATCTTGTCCTGGTGAATATTGTGGCAGAATATATGGAGGATGAACCAGAAGATATCTGAAATTGTGTATTTTTGTGGCTGGAAACTGTTGAAAGGTACATCATTGTTATTAATGAAAAAGACTGACTAAAAACAGCAATGTTCTTTAAGCATACATATGTGAACAAATTCTTTGTTAAGCAAAAATGCCCTGTGCAGCCAGGGATGGCTGAAATACATTATACCTAGACTCTGGTAATCTCAGTTCTTTTCTTTATCTCTAATTAGTAAATTTTTTCTAGTTCAATAAATCTCTCTCTATTACTTTTCTTGTTTTTAGAACCAGAGGATAAATACTTGTCTTTTTTAACTTTCTGGATTGTTTCCCAATTGAATGCAATAAAATATGCAGAAAACTTTTGGAAAGTATTACAAAGTATACAAATGGAAGTGAATAATCTGCTTACTTTGTGACTCTTTTTCTTTCAAATTCTGTTGTAGCTCAAAGTGGGTAACTTATATTTCTTCAATTACCTTTAACTGATTATATGTCCATTTTTCCCCTAGCATTTGGAAGGCACACTTCATCCACTATTGGTCTCTTGCTTAAGTCTTTACAAGTTTTTATTTGTATATTGTTGTGTGTTGATCCAATTGATTTTTCTTCTCATTTACTATAGTTTCATGTATAATTAAATTGGTATAAATATGTCTATATTGGAGAGTGTACAATGTCCCCAGACCTTGTTCTTAGGCATATGTTGTTGTAAACTCAGGTCTTCATGAATTATATGAAATGTTAATAAAATTGTGAATGATATTCAAAATGATTTTTAAATGGATTCTATGTATAAGAAGCCTGTACCTTATTGTAGCTGGTAAGCCAACAATTTATGATAAGAAACTTAATCTTTACATACAACCTTCTCAGTTTACCACTAACTACTTGGTCCACAGAAAATGAGACTATAAAACAGCTCACTGATTATTTTGTCATAGTATAAGGTCACACTCAACCTTGAATCCGCACCCATTTCTCTGATTCCTGCCCTGAAATAACACTACCTATGGAATAACAATGATGTCAGAATTTACTAACGTACATGAAAACACTGATCATTGACCTCATTCAAAGAAAACTGAAATGTCTCCAATAAGGCTGAATTCTAGAAGGCCATTATGCACACAGATGAAATATAAAGCTCTTCTCTCCTATAAGAGCTACCTTTAAGTTGGTGGAATTCAGTCTATTCAAATTACTAGGAAATGATAAAATGTTAAAAAGTTAAAATTATAAAATTTATAATTCTAGATATGAAAATCTGTTACATAGAACATTTAGTCAAGTGGGACACTGTGATGTCTGTCATTTAACAACAGGATGCACTACATGAGTGTTAACATATAAACAAATATTCAGTTATAGTCATATTGCATACATAAGGTAAATATAGGTTAAAAAATACACTGTAAACCTGGCATGACGGTCCATGCTTGTAATCCAAGCAAATTGGGAAGCTGAGTAGTTTCAGAAGTTTAAATTCAGCCTCAGCAACTTAGTGTGATTTCTAGCAACTTAGCAAGACAGTCTCGAAATTTGAAAAAGTGGAGAGAGAGCTTAAGGATGTGGCTCAGTGTTTAAAAATACGTAAATTTAAACTGAAAAAAAAATAAAGTTTAAAATATTACACTTCAGTGTAAAACATCAAAACTGGTTTCATATAATTCTTTTCTCAGTATTCAAAAGTGAAAATAGTAACTTTTGAATTAGAAAAACAATTATATTCTTTCAAAGATGAGGTTTCTTCACTATGCATATATATTTATGACTGACATTTCTACAAAATAACTTGATAATGCCTAATAAATTTAAGCAAAAGTTAAAGACAAGTACTTAGTTTCTAAACTTAAATAAGTTCTGTATTTTACTGATCCTCATATACATCAAGGTGTAATGTATAGATAATAACTTTACTATACTCTCATATTTATTATAAATGTTTCATTGTTATATAAGGCATATATTTTGGACAAAATCTGTTCAATGTTCACTACTAGTATGAGTTTTCAGATGTTCAATGAATTTTAAATTTAAATACGCTTTGGAAATATTATTTAACTTTTTAGGGTTTCTTGGCACAAAAAATTCTCCAAAAATAAGTAGTGTTTAAGAAACATGTGGCTACATTTTTTTTCCATTTGTATTTTCTCTAACCAGTATGTATCCACAGGTGCTGAGTATTGGTGAATAAATTTTCCAGGCATTGTCACATTGTCAGTTTTCACATTTCAAAACTTTCTCTATGCTATGGTTATTGTGGTGAGGATTAAATATTGTCCCTTTCTTAGAGTGATGGTACAATGGTCTCATTTGTAGAGCTTCTCTCCAGTGTGTTTTCTCTGATGTCTAGTAATGTATGATATATAATTTTAAAAGTTTCTACATTCTCTACATTTATAGGTCTTCTTTCCAGAATAAATAGCCTAGTGGTGAAAAGAATTGATTTCTTATTAAAAGCTTTGCTGCATTGTTTCAATTTGTAGGGATTGTTTTCTGTATTAATTCTGTTGTTAATAAGGTTTAGTCTTTCTTTTTTTTAACATTTATTTTTTAATTGTAGTTGGACACAATACCTTTATTTCACTTATTTATTTTTATGTGGTCCTGAAGATTGAACCCAATATCCCACACATGCAAGGCTAGCCCTCTACCACTGAACCACAATCCCAGTCCCAAGGTTTAATCTTTCTTTAAAAGTATTATCACTTTATTCACATTTCACATCCATCAGGATGTCTTGTGCTGTGATGAATAAAGTTTTATTTTTTATTAAAGTTTTGCCACATTATTTACATTTGTAGCACTATTCTCCAGTGTGAGTTCTGTTGTGGTGAATAAGGTCTGTTTTATTGCTAAAAGCTTTGCCACATTCCTTATATTTGTAAGTCTTCTCTCCAGTGTAAATTCTGCTGTGGCAAATAAGGTGTAATATTTGAGTAAAAACTTTTGTCACATACTTTGCATTAGTGAGGCTTCTCTCCAGTGTGAGTTCTGTTGTGGCAAATAAGGTGTAATTTTTGACTGAATGCTCTGCCACATTATTTACATTTGTAAGGCTTCTCTCTAGTGTGAGTTCTTCTGTGGCAAATAAAGCCTGTTTTTTGAGTAAAAGCTTTGCCACATTCTTTACATTTGTAGGGCTTCTCTCCAGTGAGTTCTGCTGTGGCGAATAAGGTCTATTTTTTTGACCAAAAGCCTTGCCACATTATTTACATTTGTAGGACTTCTCTCCACTGTGAATTCTCTTGTGGTGAATAAGGTTTGATTTGTCATCAAAAGCTTTGCAACATTCTGTACATTTGTAGGGCTTCTCTCCACTGTGAGTTCTTCTGTGGCAAATAAGGTGTGATTTACGACCAAAAGCTTTGCCACATTCTGTACATATGTAGGGCTTATCTCCAGTGTGAGTTCTACTGTGGCAAATAAGGTGTGATTTGCGACCAAAAGGTTTGCCACATTTTTTACATTTGTAGGGCTTCTCTCCAGTGTGAGTTCTTCTGTGGCTAATAAGGTTTGATTTTTGACCAAAAGCTTTATCACATTCTTTACATTTGTAGGGCTTCTCTCCAGTGTGAGTTCTTCTGTGGCAAATTAGGAATGATTTTTTACCAAAAGCTTTGCCACATTCTTTACATTTGTAGGGCTTCTCTCCAGTGTGAGTTATGCTGTGGTAAATAAGGTCTGATTTTTGACGAAAAGCTTTGCCACATTCTTTACAATTGTAGGGCTTCTCTCCAGTGTGAGTTCTGCTGTGGTAAATAAGGTATGATTTTTGACCAAAAGCTTTGCCACAATCTTTACATTTGTAGGGCTTCTCTCCAGTGTGAGTTCTACTGTGGCAAATAAGGTCTGATTTTCGACCAAAAGCTTTGCCACAATCTTTACATTTATAGGCATTCTCTCCAGTGTGAGTTCTGTTGTGCCAAATAAGGTTTGATTTTTGACCAAAAGCTTTGCCACAATCTTTACATTTGTAGGGCTTCTCTCCAGTGTGAGTTCTACTGTGGCAAATAAGGTCTGATTTTCGACCAAAAGCTTTGCCACAATCTTTACATTTATAGGGATTCTCTCCAGTGTGAGTTCTGTTGTGCCAAATAAGGTTTGATTTTTGACCAAAAGCTTTGCCACAATCTTTACATTTGTAGGGCTTCTCTCCAGTGTGAGTTCTCATGTGGCGAATAAGGTGTGATTTTTGACCAAAAGCTTTGCCACATTCTGTACATTTGTAGGGCTTCTCTCCACTGTGAGTTCTACTGTGGCAAATAAGGTTTGATTTTCGACAAAAAGCTTTACCACAATCTTTACATTTATAGGGCTTCTCTCCAGTGTGAGTTCTGCTGTGGTAAATAAGGTGTGATTTTCGACCAAAAGCTTTGCCACAATCTTTACATTTGTAGGGCTTCTCTCCAGTGTGAGTTCTCCTGTGGCGAATAAGGTTTGATTTTTGACCAAAAGTTTTTCCACATTCTTTACATTTGTAGGGCTTCTCTCCATTGTGGGTTCCTCTGTGGTAAATAAGACCTTTTTTTTTACTAAAAGCTTTGCAACATTCTTTATATGCATAGGGCTTCTCTCCAGTATAAATTCTCTGGTGATGAACAAGGCCTGATTTTTTATATGATTTCTGGTATTCACTCTCACATGTAGTTTTCCATATTTTCTTTTGTTGTAAATAGTCAAGATCACAACTTCCATATTTTGCACTTATCACTTCATGTAATATAGGTTTTAGGCCCTTTTCTGGTGAATATTCTTGGATATGATTAGGAGTCATGGCTGAAATAAACAAAAATAAAAGAAAAACAATACCTATTAGACTGGGATAAATATATTTTGCATACATAAAATGAAATTAAGGTAAAATAAGTACATGAGGAGTGTAGCAGATTAGTAACTCCAAAGTCACCATAAATCCAAAAAATATATTAGTTCAATAAAAATGTACAGAAAAAATTACCTTGAGAATATTATCCAAATTCTTGTAGAGACCACAGTATCCAAGAGGAGTACATCAGTAAGAAGAGTAATATAATAAAGTGTAGAAAAGAATCATTAACAGCCTTTTATCCTTCATAAAATAGTATTGGTTATTTAGGAAATATCTACCAGCTACCTTCACTCTCAGTAGAATAAGAGAAATGTAAAAACAAACATTTCTGGCTTTTTCAAAGAGTGTCCAAAAAATGGTTTTTGTCTACCATGACATAGAGACATGAAAATAACTAGTAGATTTTGAGTGATAATACCATAAATATTCAACAAGGGTAAAGAGGCAATGGACTCTTAAAAAGAAATATGAACAAAAAATTTACTAAGAAATATACACATATGTCTATAATTTTTTTTTTTTGTAAAAACATTTTAAAAGACTATGAAAACCTTGCATAGACTATAGCCATAATATTTGGATGAATCCAACACATGACAATCAAGTATAATAAATTGATTTTTATATTTTTACATTCCTGTGATATGAGAATTTCCTTTATTGACAAACACAACTTTGTTTATTTACAAATATATCATGGTATTTTATACTATATATACAAGGTAAAATGACTAAATAGAATGAATTAACAATCATTATTTCATATAATTATCGATTTTGTTCTTACAACATATTGTATTCCTTCTACTAGTATTTATGAAGAACATAATACACTCACTATGTGGTAAAATAAAACTCTTGACCCTATTATGCTCAATAAAATAAAAATATGGAGACCTTTACTATAATATCAAACCTACACAAAACACAGTATTTGGTGAGCAAAATTTTGCTCACTACACTTCTGACTTCCACATGTGAATCAAATGCTCCTACAACTTAATATCTGCATGCCACCTTTCACTTAATTCAAAGTCCTGCATATATTTCTTATAACACTTTAAGAGACAAAATATTTTATAACTAAATAATAATAGTATATAAGTACATATTTTTAAACATTTGACATTGATGGGCACGCACATTGAGTCCCTAGCTTTAATACTGAGAAAAATGTTGGCACTAAACACAAAAGCAGAAGTATCTCTTCAATTTTTTGATTTAATTGTTCATGGATACATATTTAGTACTGGCAATTCTGGATCTTTAGGTCATCCAACTGTTAATGTTTCACGTGTAATGCTTGAGATTACCCCCAAAATTCTATATCATGAACTACAACACAAGTCTTTTTAAAATTGTTTGAGCCATGCTGTTTCTAAATTTCTGTGACTTCTCTCATGCATGACTTCCCAATTAGTAAATATTACAAGGATGCAGCACTGTTCTTGCCTATTTTTATTTATTCAAAAGTTTTTATACTTTTTTCCTGAAAATGGAGTATATAATCTACTTATGGCTCCTTTAATGAACAAATAAAAAATAGTACAGCAAATATAAACAAAGAGAAGCATGGCTAAATCCAATTGACAAAAAAACAAAAATAAAACATTAAGGATTTAACATTAGGATACTGACAGTTATGAATTACTCAAAGAACACTAAATAACTATTTAAAAAAAGTTTAGAGAGTGAAATTGAAAAATATTAACATCAATGGGCACAATGTTTATGTGAATACTTTTTTAAGAAAAAATGAAAGGGGAATTCCTAGTGTGTAAATCTGAAATTCTGCAAATATGGGAGAGGCTTATCAAGCAGTACCAAGTTTAAAACAAGTCTAAGCAACTTCTAAAATACTGTAAAAATTAAAAATCTATAGGATATATAAAGAGAAGTGGAATATATATATATATATATATATATATATATATATATATATACACACATACATATACATATATATATATATATACACATGCACACACACACTGTGTTTTGTGTAGGGTTGATATTATAGTCAAAGACTCTCTCTCTCTCTCTCTCTCTCTCTCTCTCTATATATATATATATATATATATATATATATATAGAAAATAATCCAAGCATGCCACAATAAAAAAACAATGATCCAGAAATTAAATCACTAATCAAAATAAAAAAATATTAAAAAATTGCAAAGTAGAAGTATAATGATTTATTCACTTCAAAATATTTATGATTACTAATGCATTATTGCAAAACACAAAACAAAAGAAAAAATTTAATAACAGAATTGAATCTAAAATAGAAAATGTCAAGTAAGTTCCAGCAGAGAGCATGGAAAGAAACCAAGCATGATCTGCTCCTAGAGGCCCTATTTGTTTAAAGATGGATAATGCTCCTGCCTTGACATCTCATCCTTTTGCACAATTTTTAATCAATGAGATATAGTTTTAAATCATGAAATTTCTCACAATTCTTTTGGATGAGCTTTTGTTGAGTGAGCAAATTGTACCCTAATACTTGCTTTTAAAACAGAAAGAAACAAAGATCTAGCCTCTATTATATTAATATGCATTAAATATTGTTTTATTTACAGTTAATGTGCTCAATATACAACATAAAGTTAATACTCAAAATTGGTCATCTGCATTGAATAGACATTTTATTCTCAAATAGCCATTACCAATAAAATTATGTAATATATGAGGTTCCACCTGACCAGCATGACAAGCTCCTATGCCTTTGCTCACGTGGGGAAAAGCATGGACTGCTACACTTATGCTAACATGTCCTGTTTGGACTCTAGCTTCATGCTTGAAAAATAGCAATTACAAATGTACATCAGTGACTTCACAAGCTGATTTCTAAGTTTCATTTAACCCTGGAAGATAAGAGTTCATCCAAACAAGAGAATAATCATTCTCCTCAAAAGAGGAGAAACATTAAAAGAGGACCCCATGATACTTAAATTCTAGTTACTTGTTGATATATAAAACCATTAACAGCCTCAGCTCAACAGGTGTTGGCTAAAATGGGGTTAGAATGTACTCTAGATAACTTTTTTACTGCTTTGATTGCTAAACTCACACAAAACTCTGTAAATGCTTTGGTCTTAACAACAATTTTGCTTTGTTTTTGTACACCAGCTATGGGAAATTCAGTACAGCCAGATCCTGGACTTCAAGAACCCATTACAATATCTTGACTCACTTGCATAAAATTGTTATAAACCTGCAAAAATGTCTCATGGTATTCATTGTTGTCTTAGCAGAATAATGTGTCCTTACCATCCACATAGTATTTAATAGGTCAAAATCCTCTGCAATTTATTCATAAAAGATCTATTCCTCTTGATAAAAACTGTGATGATTCAGTGAAGCTTTTCTCTAAGGCAGAATTTAACACTTTGACATTCTCCTTGCTGGGTTTACCTGGACTAGCCCTATGGGCTTATATAACTACTATGAAACTCACCTATGCTATCATAAACAATATTAGTCATGCCTCCATGGATGTAAATATGCTTAATGAAGAACAAAAACAACATTTTCAAGCCATACTTGACAATTATGCTGCAAGTGATTGTCTGTTATTGTTACATCATAAAGGATATCAGAAGTTTAATACCACATGTTCCTTCAATTTAAGTTATAATAGTAATTTTATTTCAAAAGACTTAGATGATCTTAAAGATATCATTAATAAGGTTCAACAAGATGATGGATTTTGGACTTGTTGGATTGGTTAACTTCATGTTTACTCAATTTCATCTGGGTCAAAAATATTCATAGGTGGATGTTTACTGATGTTGGAATTTGCTGTTGTCTATGCCTGCTGTATTTTTTGCCCCCACCAGCATTAAGGAGATAAGTAATATTATTTATTCAAAAGGCCTTAAAAAAGAGGGGAGGTATTAGGTATTCTGATCTTGGAATAGAAAGGAAAGTGTGGGGGTGATTGTAACTGGCACCCTGAGTCCCACAATTGTAATGCCCAGCAGTTTCTCCCTGAAGATATTAAGACAACTCTACAGGTGCACTATCTAGTTTCTGTGGTAATGTCCTTAGGGAGAAGAGGCTCTATATTTGAATTAACTGTACCTAATCTTGGTTAGCTAGCACATGGGGTTAAAGAAACACTGGGTTAGAATGTAGTCATCGTATGAGAAGCTATGTAATTCTGGGGTATTATATGTGCAGCTGTTAAGAGGGGTGGCCAGTTTTTTTTTTTTTTTTTCTTTTTTCCTTTTCATTGTGTGTGTCTCTCTCTCTCTTCTGTTTGTTCCTATAAATGTTTCCTCACAAGAAGATTTGAAACAGATCATGCTGGCCCTCACAACAAAAGGTAAGTTTTGATGGTTAATCTGAATAAACTGGGACATCACTAAAGAAGAAAACAGAGAACAACAAGGAATTTGAAAATGTGATAAATATAGGGCAGTATGTGTTCAATGATTACAATCAAAATAAATAAACCTAAGCTTCTGAGATTTTCTTCTGCTGGGTAGCTACTCTTTCAACACTTTTTAGTTTGGTTTTCTCCTTAACATTTGAATGACTCAACTGTGTCCACTGCTATGTGTAGTCTACAATAGTTTACATTACTAAATTATACTAGGTACTACTTATCTAAAGTGAAGGATGTGTAACACACAAAGAAAGAGACAGATTAAAGAGTAAAATTATATATATATATATATATATATATATATATATATAGAGAGAGAGAGAGAGAGAGAGAGTAAAATATCTGTACTAAAAAGGCCCTTTTTCTTTGAAACAAATCTGAAACTCATTTTTATAGAAAAGTTCCCAGAAGATACTCTGCAACAGAAATAAATTAAATAATAATTAGTAATTAATAATTTTAAAGGGAAGTTAAACTTACCCAGGAAGGCCAAGTTTCTGTAGTTCTCTAGCATCACATCTCTATATAAATTTTTCTGAGCAGGCTGAAGGCATTCCCACTCCTCTTCAGTAAAATCAATGGCTATATCCATAAATGTTAACAGTTCCTAAAATAAGAATAGGTAAATAAATAACACCTTGACCACAGGAATATTTGCACAGTCTGTAATGTAAATACAGTTGAAATTAGAGTTAGTAGACTATCATGTAGGTAGTGTTTTGGAACACAATGACACTATTATCTACTTCTGCAGAAAAAGTGATTTAAGTTCAAAAAAGTATACATACTCCACATTTATGAAACACAATATAAAACTCAGTCATTATCACAAAAATATATATTTTGGAATTTTTTATATCTTGATCAAAATTATACATATTTTTCAGATGAGAAAATCATGGTAATTAAGAAAGGGAATCCTCAAATTTTAATTGTACAACCACTAATCAGAAATTTATTAATGTGTAGAATCTTATTTATTATTTCTCTGATAGAGCTGGCTACTCTGAATGTGTAGAGACATCTCTAGTAATTCCAATATCAATGGTTAAAGAGAAATTTTGAAATGCAGCAAGGTAGGCAGACCACTTAATGGAAATATTTAATAGTTTATTTAAGTTCAAACATTTTATGGTTTTTATGTATGTTATTAATATAAAAAATAGCAACAACAATCTTGTTTGAATTTTCCTTTTTATAATTTTAGCATTCTTTAACATACAAAATTATATATATATATATATATATATATATATATATATATATAACTTTGATCAATGTTTATATTGTATGATATTTATAATAGAATATACATATAGCTCTTCAAACAAATATAATTTTTTTATTTTATTGGTTTTTTCTAGTTCTACCTGATAGTAAATTGATTTTTATGGTATTATGCAAGCATGGGATATATCTTATGCTAATTAAAATCCTGTTCTTGTTGGTGGCTATGATGGTAGGATTCACGTACAGATATATATCTTTTATATTTCTATCCTTGTCCCTTTTATTTATTTACTTATTTACTTATTTATTTTTTTTACCATTGTGCAATCTACTGATCTTCTTTTCTTACCCTTCCCCACTTTATAAGATTTAGATTTCACATATCAGCAATAACTTTCAATATTTGGTTTTAAAGAAATGGTTTGTTTTACTTAGCATAAAATCTCCAGATTCATCCATTTCCTGGCAAATGTCATAAAGTCATTCTTCTTTATGGCTGATTCATAGTTTATTGTGTACATAAGCAATATTTTTTATCCTGTCATCATTGAATGGACCCATTCATCATTGAATGGTTGGTTTTATAGCTTAGCTGTTGTGAATTGTGCTGCTATAAATATTAATGTGGCTGTGTCAATGTAGTATGCTGATTTTATGTCCTTTGGGCATATACAGTGCAGTCAAAAAACTGGGTAAACTTGTGGTTCGATTTCTTTAACAATATCCATACAGGTTATTATGTTTCACTTAGACCTCTATACAGCTGGAAAAATTGGAATTCATCTATACCTGAGGTGAAAATAAAATATACACAAAATATTATTAAGCCATAAAATGACTAGAATTTATTATCAAATCGTACATCCCAATAAAAAGTAAAATTCAAAAACTAAAAGTAAAGAAAGTCTTAAGCAAAAGAGCAAAATTAGAAGCTATTAAAGATAAACATAACACAGAGTTACCAGTATCAATGTTGGTGCTTTCATAAAGCAAATGAGCCCAGTCTAGTGATGGACAACTGTAGTTCCAGTGACTGAGGAGGATAAGAAAAAAGGATCATAAATTCTAAGACAATATTATATATAATATTGTCTTATATATATTGTATTGAGCAACTTAGTGAGGCACTTAGCAACTCAGTAATACTCTGTCTCTAAATAATATATATATATACGACTGAGGATGTGGCTTTATTGTTAAGCACCCCTGGGTTCAATCTTCAGTACAAATTTTTTAAAAATCAGATACAATTAAAAAAGCACTAGCAAATTTGAAAATTCAATGAATAAAAATTATATCAATTATATAGTATATAATTGCAAATATAGGCATATATAATGATTTCTCACTTTATGGAAATACACTCTGGAAAATTTATCCTAAGAATCTTCTGCAATTTTCCAATACTCTGGGTGCAATGATAGAATCTAGATGGTATAGACTAGTACATGGCTAAGATATTTGCTAGATCCATGGTTGTACATAAAGTCTACTGCTGACCAAAATACCATGATGCCACATGATTGATGTTATGAAGTAAAATCAATCAGGGTAAACCTCATAATAAAATAAATGGTGGAACTACAGAAAACACCAACAACAAAACTCTTAAAACATGCCAGGATATTGGGAAAAGAGTGTGATAATAAAATGCTATTTTATCCCTTCACTCATAAAACATAACAACATATTTTGACACATTAAATGCTGAATATAAGTTATTACTAAATAATACTGAAATATATAAGAAAGTACAAAGCTCAAAAGTTTACATACAAAAGGTAGGGTTCATATGGTGGTGCACACCTGAAATATCTACTATTCTGGAGTCTAAGGCATGAAGTTCAAAATTTAAGGCCAACTGAAGAAATTGAGCAAACCCCATCTGGAAATAAAATTTAAAACAGAGCTGAGAATATGCTCAGCATTAAGACACTTTGGTTGAATCCCTAATATCACTAAAGAAAAAAAAATAGGTTTTTTTGTTTTCAAAATTATACAATATAATAGACTTAAACTTATGAATTACAAAATATTAATACAAAAAAACCTATTCATCAAATGATTACATTAAAAGCTGCAAAACTGACAAGTTAAAAATAAGCCCTAATTTCCTCACATATAATCAAACACTTATAAGAAGAAGAAATACAACAGAATGCATAAGAAAAAATATTCTTGAAGAGTCACTTTAAAAAGGATATATCTAACTTTTCAATAATCATATTAAACTCAAAATCTTTAGAAATTAGGTAACATTGAATAAAATCACATCATATAGATGAATTAAATAGTATTGATGAATATGTGGAATAAATGCATTCACAAAAAAGAAAATAATAATTTAAGCTTTTATTATCCATTTGTAGAAACTGTTTTGTAATCATATGTATATGATACACCCACAGAGGAAACAGAGACTAAAATTACAGCAACTGTTCATGAGAGTACATCCACATTCTTCCAGAGTTGAAACCAAGGGGCATGGCTAGAGAGGAAGAAATAATTATTAAATTTTGTAAAATGTAAATTCTAGGAGCTAGAATTTTTGTTGATGTATTATATCCAGTTTGACAAATACTATAAAATACCATGTATGTTTTATGCTGATGTCACATGATTGTTGCATTTCATATGCATGTATGTTTACGAAAGGAATATGCAGTATTTGAGAAAATAAAAATACGGAAAAGAACATAAAAAAAACTCAAATATTCAACATATTTACAAAGGATAAAACTATTATGAAAATGATCATTTTTCCCAAGGTACCCTTTAATAATAACTGGTCATAATTTTACCATTCTTTGCTTTTTGTTAAAGAAGAAATCAAAGCAAAAACTTCTAAAATTTTCCTGGAAAGATGAATGTATATAAAATTAGACAAGTACTCTCTCATATATAAAAGCAAATGTACTAGTGATCATTACCTGACACTAATGCATGTTATAATATTACAACAGTGTAGTAATTTTAAGATAAATAAATCACAATACAGAAAACTACAAAGGGCAGTTCATATGTATGCAAATATCTTTTTATTGTTAATTATTATAAGTATATAAATCAAAACATATCAATAAAATATTTAATGTGAATGAATGATACAATCCAACCTCAAGGTAGATGTTAGAATAAAAGACGTAGATTACAAAAGTGACTTTTGTACAGAATGTGTGTGACACTGGAATTATACACAAGCATCCACCAAAGAGCAGATATAAAGAGAGATAATGTTAAAAAATTAAATAAAAATAAATAAAAGCAGAATATAAGCCTCCCTCCATTTATGGATACACCAAAAAATATATATACTCCTGTTTTGAGTCCTTCTAAAAACTGTAAAGGAATTAGAGGCACACAAATTGGAAAACTGAAAAAAAAATAATAATGTATCGACAAAGAGATAAGTAGAATGCACATGAAGATTTTTCTCATTTGAGCAATATGCAAAATTACTGGAACAAAATGCCCAAATCCAGTGTTAATATAAATAAAGGAAGATTGATTTGCGTTTGAAATATATTATTTAACTCTAAATTGCCTGTAGTTTAAATGCTAATTTATCTGTAAACACAGAGGAAGGAATAAGATATGAGTATTTACTCCAGGGGGGGAAATAAGTGGTTTTCTATGGCCATGCAAGATCCATGGGGTTTATTCCATTAGACCAGAGTGGAAGAAGTGTTAAATCTTAAGGTAACCCTATAATCCCTTAGAGGGATTTGCCAACATTCTCTAAAAATGCAAATAGCTGTTGCTGACAGTTCAACTTTTATCTAGACAGTACCAAAATATTAACAGGGAAATACAGACCACCACTGAAAGCCAAAGTGGCAGTTTATCACTTCCTGAGTTCTCTCACCCAGCTGTTTTACTAATAACACCAGACCTAACCAATTCTTTCTGTAACTAATTTGTCCTGATATTAACTTTTTTCCATTCAATGGACTACATCTGAAACCTCAAAGCATTGAAAGCACTGGTAACTGTGCAGGTGCAAATCTCCCTAGATCAAAAAAGAGTGTTTTCACATTGGTGTGCAAACATTGTAATGGGCTAAACTCTCGAATATTAGTGAAGAAAAATGGTTACAATCAGAGATCCCTCTTTATTTCTGATATAGGTGTGCATCAATTTTTTTCCAGTGAGCATAAAGCACCCTGGAATCTAAAAAGCTTGCATCAAAATTTTAGTGCACCATTCAACTATAAGATCTTCTGCATGAGCACAGCTGTTAGAATGGCTACTCTCAAAAAGTGGAATAGTAAGTAGTACTCCAATTATATGAATATGGAAGAAAGAAACACTGTGATAGACTATAAAATTAGTGAAGACATTTAAAAAAATGGAAGTTGAGAGTTCTCTCAGTTATTT